GGGACACTTAAGTGTTATTACAGAACAGAAATTTGTTTCTTGAAATTATACAGTCAACAATTTAAATCAGACTACCAAAATTAAATGTATCTGTATGTAACTAATACATTCTTTTCTAATTTTATTTTGATATTTCTAAAAAAATGAGATTTGTTTTGTAGTGGAAAACTTACCCATATTCATAAACTGTAGGAGCTGATACAGGTATATTTCTTGAGTTACTTACCATGTGGTTATAATTTAAGTGTTGAGCTGTGTTTTACATAGTGATCTGAAGAAATATACCATCAGGGATGGATAGATCTACCATCTAAGGATCACATTTGATTTATAACAAGGGTGCAAAATGGAGTTTCTGTCATAAATTGAATCGTGAAAACATCTATTGAAAACTGATTATTATAAACAAAATAAAGAAGAGAGTTGAACCTTACAGACAGCTGTACCTCAAAGAAACAATTACTTCAATGTTAAAACCTCTTGCTATAACTGAGTCCTGTACTTTAAAATATATTTATTTTTTTTCAATTTACTGTATATAATCACATTCACATTAGTTATTCACCATTGTGTTACTTAATATAGTGTTATTAAATAACCTACATATCATATTGGCTGATTAATTAAAAGCCTTTACAAGTTTCAGAGAGAAGAGCAAGGTATTGAAGTAAGAAATGTGATATTATTTAGGAGCTGTGAACTAGAGGAGGGTTCCCATGAAGTTGAAGGTGTTCTTTCACCACTGGACGAAGACTCTTCTGCAGACTCTGATCAGAATAAACAAAATGATGGTGCTGAAGGGAGAGAGAAGGATAAGATGGAAGAAGAAGCATCTGATGCAGAAATTGAGCCAGGTAATTAGGCTTTAGAAGAAGAAGAAGAAGAAGAACATAGCTACTATGGATGTGATAAATATTGGTATACTAGAGCAGAGCGCTCCTTTCGGAGCTCCTCGGGGGTTTGGTTGCGTTTTAAAATTCTGTGTAAGAAACTAAACTCGAATGGGGGGTTAAAACACTTGACCAACCCCCATTCGGAGGAGTTAGTTGCGTTTTAAAAACTTAAATATCTCCCCCTTTTGGGATCTGATGCAGAAATTGAGCCAGGTAATTAGGCTTTAGAAGAAGAAGAAGAAGAAGAACATAGCTACTATGGATGTGATAAATATTGGTATCTAGACAGAGGGTACATAATATGGTTCAGTTAATAAGCTGCATTGATACAGATGAAAAAGGCCAACTGTTCTTGGTCAGTCAACTTGCTATGTCCAGCCCCACCCTTACAAATCTTTGTCTGCAATAATTGCATGTTGAAATATGCATAATTGCAGATATGCAATTTTATAAGAAGTGTACTTGTTTCTTAGAGACTAATAATAATATCAAATTCTGAGTGAATCATTTGTTAGAAATGTATAGAATATTTGTCTGTTTGCAGAGGTGTTTGTGTTTGAGACAGGGGAGAATGACAAATCTTCGCCTCCAGGTGAAGGACAGGCTCCTCTGTACAATCTGATGGACCACCTTGACCTAAATTTGCCACAGACTGGTGGAGAATTGGAGGATAACAGTTCTTTGGAATTGCAAGGTGCTTTGTTATATACAATTTTTTTCATTGTTCATTCCAGTAATTAGCCTGCTGAAGTTATTCGTATGAATCTTCAAACATATTTTCTTATTCTGCTTTTCTTTCTTGGATCCTGTTAGAACTCACCAAACATTTGACACTTCTGGATTATACTCAGGAGGTTGTGAGTTTGGTTCTTATCTTATCCAACAGTTTGAAGTTAATACACCACAATGCACATTTAATTGAAATTTATTCAGTAGTTATAGAGTTGTGAGTAGGTGGAAGGATAGTATTAAACTGGATGTTAATGGAATAGAGTGTGAGGATTTTATTGAATTCTGCTCTCTGAATACAGGGTTTACTGGCTGCCTGTTCTGAATATTGCAATAAAAGGTGTTTTTTTTAAACTTGCTGAGTGATTATCAGCTTCTCAATAAGCAGTCTGTAGCATGGAGTTGGTTTAGATTCAGAGACAAAATGTCTGGATAAACATAACCTCAAAATGTGCTCATTTTAGGTACTCTTTGTTACAAACACATAAGATGGTATATTGAGGGGTGCTGGTCTTTGGGTTTACTGTAATTAATATTATATAATTTACACACAATGACAAAATAATTTTTAAGGTGATAATGAACCCACCATCTTACCAGAAGAAGAAGATGAAGAAGTGGATGATGCAGGAATACCTCAGATTGAGCAGTCTCCTCCTTCTGGCAGTGATCAAAGGTTTCAAGAGCGCGGTGTGTCAAGTGGTGGCACTTCTCAAAGGAGCAAAGAATTGGGAAGTGCATATGAAGCTGGGAGAAATGATCCAGATGGTTGTAGTCTCACAGGTGGACAGGGTGGCATACAGAGGAGTGACAAGTCTCGGAAATTGACGTCACAATGCGAGGTATGCGGCTTCATGTGAATGTGATAAGATGGCTTTTGTTTTGAGAAACATAACTGGTTTGTAAAAGCCTGTTTCTAACCAAAGAAATTGGCTTGTATTGAGAGATACCTTGTTCAAATCTCAGACACAGAATGAGCTATTCTGACTAAGGTATTAAGTTGCTTTGTTTAGTCTCTCCAAGCGAACATCGGAATAATACACTGTGATTGCATTGTTTAAAAATATCTCTGTTTTCTGTCATGTGGTAATTTTCCCATCTCATCTGATGCAGACAAAACAGCACTGTTAAATAACCCAAAAATCAAGAAGCATCTGTGCATAATTTTAATTTCTGTTGCTGTACAGGTATCAGATATGAGTGTGGATTCTGTTGTATGGCTGTCCCATCGTTTGGGTCCTGTTCTCACAGCACGCCATTTGTCTCGGAATCTTCTCCGCATGTTGACACTTTGCTATCTAGGTCAGGAAAACCTCTCTGCCCGTCCATCTGATGGCAGTAATTGTCAGGATATCCTTGGTACAACTACAATTACTATATCTAAAGGAGCAGTATTTGGAGATCAGAATGCGATCAAAGTATTGGAGTGCCTTGCATTGATTTCAGGTTAGTACTTTTTGACGGTATATCACACTTCTCTATAACTTGCTGTCTGCTTACACTGTAGTATGAAGGCAATTAATTGTGACTGTTCAAATTCTGAAACTTTCTTCACCCTTTGATATGCATTATTGATTGAATAGTTGTTCTTTTGTTGTTTTGTTTACAGGTGAATGTATTTCATCTTATTTCAGTAATGGAGTTATGTCTTTTTGCAGCTTTGTATGGGGAGCAGTTGATATTGTTGCAGTATTTGCCCCACATGGGGGAATTGATTGCACTTTGCAAGAGGAAGATGACTGTAAATCTGGAAGGAGGCCTTGTCGGGTGCCTTGCCCTACTCAAGCACATCATACCATATCTTTGTGATACCACTCTTATGAATCAGTTACAGGTATGTTTAAACAGTTTCCTTGCAAATATGTAAAAGAAAACGTGTGTGACAATTATAAGTTCTGATAAAATGATCACGTGGTGGATATATATTACTTATGAGTGTAATTACCTTGCTTGTAATGAATTTGGTTCAACAATCCACAGGTTTTCTGACTGTCAGAATAATGTGTTTTCAATTTAGCCATAATCTGTTCTAATAACACTCATTTCTGTGACATGCTTATTTCAGACACAATTTCTTGCTGATTATTAGGTTGTGATTTTTACATTGGTTGATTTACTTCTTTATATCAATGCATGTTATAGTTGATGGCCACTCAGTATGTGCATTGTCAACAGTAATTGTCTGCTCTCTTTTGAATATTTAAAGTGTATCTTGGGGTGTGTTGATATGGACTAGATTCATCTGGCTTAGGATAGGGACCAGTGACAGGCTGTTGTGAACATGGTAATGAACCTTCAGATGGGGAATTTCTGGAGTAGTTGAATGAGTGCTAGCTTCTCAAGAAGGATTCTTATTCCTGGAGTGAGTTAATTAGTAATGCACACATGTTAAACATGGACCAAGGAGTCTAACATGTGCACGAGTCACTGGGACTCGAGCTAAACCCATGAATCTGCCTCACAATAAAACCAATAAATTTATGAAGCTACTGAAACAATTTCCTTTGTTTTGCTTAGGATGTGATCCTGAAGACCATTCTACATCCAGCAGTTCGCCTGGTGTCTACAACACGGTTTATATTCCCATCTGGCTGCATTGCACGTAGTGCTGTTGCAGCCAAATTTGTGGATGCTGTGTATGTTTTGGCCCTACGCATTGGCTGTGAGATGACCCGTCGCCATTTGGCTGTTCCTTCTCTGCAGAGATTCTTTCTCACATTTGATAAAGCATTTGGCAGACCAGAAGATATTAATTTAGTTTCAGGCAAAGTGTGTGAGGCCAAGAAGAACAGTCCTCTAAGGTATGTTATATAATGCTGTCACTTTTAAGGAAACATATAGGGAATTTGCATTGTAAAACAGAATGAAAGTTAAGTCTAGAAAATCCAGAACTGTTGATTCTTGAAGAATAATAATATGTTGTAGATTGTACTAAGATGGCTATTACATTGCACATTGTTCAGTCTGAGCAATGGGATCTAAGTCTGTCAATTATATGCCCCGTTGAGCCAATGTTTTCTATATTGTATTTTAACAGATCTGTAGAAGAAAACAGTTACTTGGAGATTCGACGAGATGGAACCACTGCTGAGTGGACAGTGAAAGGAATGCCTATGCAGATTTCACATGTAAGGGTACGTGAAAATGACTCTGCGGACTCATTCTCCCCTCCACCCTTGACTGGTTCAGAGGGCGAACACCCCCACGATCAAGTAAGAAATAAGGTACGTAACTATTTTTAAAAAAAATTCTGTTCTGTGACATTGATTTGTAAGTGTGATATCTGCATTGAAATACCATTACAAGACACTAAATATGTGATATCTGCATTGAAATACCATTACAAGACACTAAATATTTGGTAGTATATACTAAATTGTGGGATTATTTCTTGATATTGTCCCTTCGCCAACAAACCTTATTAATTTATAAAGATCAGTCCATCCTTCATTTCAGGCTGTTGAAGAACTGAAGCAGGTGTTCACAGCAGAGTTGGCACATATGACATACCTACCATTCTTCAGGTTCCTTGGTGAAAATGTTATAGATGCTTCACTCAAAAATCATGATTTTGTGCGAGACTTATGCCATGAGTATGAACAAGAGATGCAGTCAGTACATACCAGTGGATGTTCTGTTGATGTGTTGTATCTTTCTGACTACCTTAGCCCTGGAGGGCAGAAGGACCCAGACAAGGCTACAGGATCTGGTAGTTTTGGCAGTAATGTTGCAGTTGTTGGTAATAGAATTGACTTGCAGAGAGCAGACATATCTTCGTTACAGCTTCACCCATCTGGTAGTCCCAATGTTCAAGCACCAGGTGGAGACATGATGGCTCTGATAAGCAGGAAAATGGAGAATACCAATAGGTAATAATTACAAATAATCTGGCTACTGATGGCATTTCATTTTCATTAAAAGGAATAAATAGGTCAGTACAATTTTTATTTATGTTATTACCAAAAACCAAATGCACTCTTTGTCCGCCTTGGATTTACTGAGCATATTCTGGGCACTGGTAACATATCTACTTCATATTTGAAGGAAATAGTTTTAAAATGTGAAGTGAAGACTTTTCTCAAGTTTTATCATGTTACTCTCTGGAAAGTATTGGCCAGTAGGCCACAACTACTTCAAACTCTTAATTTACCATTTATGGTCATCCTCACATTCAGTTTATTCTTACATAATTTCCATAGCTGATACAGTGTCAACAAATAACTTACAAATTAATCGGTACATTTTGCATTTGGGTTATTTATCTTGCTTGAAATTTTTCTCAGTTATTCTATATAAAATGTATCTAAGAATGTGCATTGCATATGTAATCGGTTAACAATTACAGCACAACACACTGAATACATTGCTAAAAATTATCAAAGTGAATTATAATAATTTTAGAGACTTACATACTGTTATCAGTTATCTGAGATAATGTTGTGCATAGGAAACAGAAAAAAATTATTCACAGAAAATACAAAGAATGTTCAAATACTTGTGCTGGCATATGGACAGATATTGCCACCTTTTTATTTCTCTTATCTTTCTTGTGTCTGGAATATTGAAAACTTTTGCCTATCTGATTGAGATTTTTCTTGGTTTTCCAGAAATATTGCAGCAAATGCTGGGAAAGCATCTTAAAATTGACCATGGTTGCCTTCTTCCTTAACCTTCATTACTCACCATTCTTGAACATATTCACATCTTCTTTGTCGCTACTGAGTAAAATGTGTGCAATTGAAAGTGTTTTAAATAACCCACAAAATTAATCAATTCAGTACAATAATTTATTTACCGTCTTTACACAAACTTAAAAATGTTGTTAAAATTACTTAAAATTATAACATTTTTCCTTAGATACTAGATCTTGTTACATTTTACATTGACGACATGTTTCGATGTTATCTCATCATCATCAGGTCAATCAATTAAAATCTGTTGCACTTCTTGCTCTGCGTATAAAAAAAAAAATAATCAATTCAGTTTTGTGTAACAACTTTCATGACCAAATCATATGGTAGTGATGCTGGCAAATGTCTGTCGTAATGACATTTGGTAGAATATGTTAAAAAAGAAGGTATTTTGTCACAGGACACTATGACTTTGATGTCAGTTTTACTGAGGGATTGTTCTAGGTGTTACTACTAGTTTTTATTTTTTGGCATATAAGATGCATTATAATCCTTCAAAGTTCTTCCTAAATTCTGCATGCATCTTATAGTACAAAGATATGGCAGGTTTTTCCCTAAACTTTTCCCTCTAAAGTCTGGGTGTGTTTTATACTCTAGTGTATCTTATAGTCTAAAGAATACAGAATTTTGATGTTTGTACAATATTATGTTTTATCATGTTGACAGGCATCTTCGTGGGAATTGGCTCGCATACTGGGAGCATGAGATTGGACGAGCTGAGAAGGACACGCGTTTCAACTTCAAGCAGATCAAACTGCAGACATTCTCAGGCCATACAAATAGTGTACGGGCTGTTCTTGCACTTGACAATGAAAACAGTTTCTTAAGTGGAAGTCGTGATAAGACAGTCAAACTCTGGTCTTTGCGTAGCCAGGTAATTACTGCAAATAAAAGCCATGAAAGTCATAGATGTTCTGGTGAAATAATAAAGGCTTATAAATGAAAAGAAAGGAAAGGGGTCAGAAGATAGGTCCATGTTTGTCACGACAGTCTGTTTTTCTTTAAAGTATATTTGAATATTTAGTTATTTTATTTATTTTTCATCCAGTGCAACTAGAATTTTATTACAGGTAATCCAACAGTACTGGACTGGAATGTAATTTCCATGGATGTCAGGATGTCAGACAGGGTCTGACACAGAATCTAAATGGGACTGGGGCAAGGACTGTATGACCAGTCTGACCAAGTTATCATATGTAGTACTGAAATGACAATATGTGTCTGATCTATTTTTATTAATTCTCTCAGAAATATGTTTTTCAGAAGCATAACACTGGCATTAACTGATCATTGTAATGTGAAATTTATTTTAATCAAGAATCAGTTCACATGTATCAGGAAGTTAATGACATATAAATGTGTTCTAGCATCATTTTGTTTTCTGATGTGAGCAGGGTGATGGAAGTACCATGACTCCATGTCAGTGGACATACTCAGGTCATCGTAAAACAGTCCTTGCCATCACGTTCCTGGAGTCACTGCGTTTGGCTGCATCCTGTGACTCTGTGGTGCACCTGTGGGATCCGTTCATGGGCTCTGTTGTGGCGCAGTTGGACTCATCTCGCAACCCACCCATCACAGTCCTGCGGGCTATGCCACCACCAAGCACCTCACTCATCGCTGCAACCAATGATGCTACCCTCCGCCTCTTGGATGCTCGCACATGCTCATTTGTCAGCGAGCTTAAGGTGGTTTAATTATTTGCAGAAATGTTCATTTGTCAAAGATCGTGATTACGTATCCGTCTAAAGATGGATATTTTATTTATTAAAAATTGCAATACCATCTGTAATGCATTTTAATCAATTTTGCCACATTTTATATATGCATTTTTTCACTTCAAAAATATGCATGGCCATTATGTTGATGTAGGTGATAATGGAGTTAAAATTTATAATGATAGAGAGGTCTTCAATGCCATGACATACATACCAAGTTTCTCAGAAATTAGTCGGTAAGTTTTCGTAATATTAATGCCTATACCTGAATCAGGAGACAGACACACACACACACACTCCAGTCACTGAAAGGTGTCCAGAGCAGTCATGCATTTTTAGTTTTTCTTTTTTGAATTAAAACAGAAATAAGAGAAATCTTGACAGACAAGAAATTAAAGTTTAAAACACTTCTATTGTATAAAATATGAATAATATGATTGTTGTAGCAATGAAAATTTAATAAACCAAAACTTCTGTTTGAAAATACTTAAAGGTTTCATTGAGCCCAGCTGGGCTGATACGTTGCATAGCGATGGGTCCAAGCGGTCACTGGGTGGCTGTAGGACAATCATCCGGCTGTCTCACGATCCTAGACTTACGCACGGGTATGGTACTGGCATCATGGAAAGGACACGAGGGAGAAGTTTTGCAGTTGGTGGCAGCTAATGATAATACACTGGTGAGCTCATCTTTGGACCAGACATTGTCTGCATGGGCAGCTGCTGATGGCAAACTCAGTTTCCACATGAAGTAAGTGTGCAACTTTAAACTGAATTTTTATTGCATTATGTTTGATAACAGTATTTTGTTAGCCATTGTTCATTATATGAGTTATATTGATATATACACAACTTTTTGTTCGCTGGATCTGCTGTCAACTTTGGATGGTTGCTTGTAATTATTGTACTTAGCAACTAGCTTAGAATTTGAAAAGTCTCAGGCTTGGTTGCAACTGCTGCCACTAATCTTTAAACAAAATAAAATAAAATAAAGTGTGTCAGTATGACTTCTAGCCACATAATGACAAGAGTAGAGGCAACTCTTGGATCCCTGTATATATCAAATATATATCACTCTAAGAGATTGATACTTCACAACAGTATTATATACATCTCTGTTCAGGGGCCCAACTGAGCCTGTGCACTGCCTGTCCGGGTACGGCTCTGAACTGATATCAGGAACAACTGCCAACCGGATAGGTGTCCACACATCTGTAGATGCACATGCTTCTTTCTCATCTACGCGTCTGCGCTCGGATACGTTCAAGGGGGTACTGACAGCAATGGCTGTTCTTCCCCTGAACCGACTCCTACTTCTGGGTGCTGACACTGGCAATATAAGCCTCCTCTGTTAATGCTGTTACTTCGTTTTGGTAAGATTCTGTTCAGCATAAATGCATATCTTGTTTTCTTACATTAATTTTATGGGAACACTGTATATAATTCAGTAGGATAACCACAAAATAAACTAAGTATGACAGATAAAATTATGGTACATACCCACATTATAGACAACTGTAGGTCCTTGAGATCAGAAGATTCATAAGATAATAATGAAGAAACATTTAGTTCAACAGTAATTTATAATATTTTATATTTGCCTTGTTGCTGTCTTGTTTTGGTGTAACTGCACATTTATTAGTTTGGTAATCATAACTGACTACCTCTTGTTTTAGTATTTTTAATGTGTTCATTATTCTAAGCCCTTACATTGAACATTCACATTAATGTGTATCATCCATTTAGCATTTTGATGTTGCTGCATTATGAGGTGTTTAGAATCAGCTTCAAAATGCACAGTGGATGATGATATACATCAGTTTGCTTTAATACACTTTATGCTAGTGGCTGCACATTTTGGCTGAGGGTTTGATATCTTTCTTAAATTAAAACCCTGTTGTAAATTTAAGCTCTGTAATTTGAACACACCCTGAACTATCATTAGATCTATACAGCTTTCTCTGGGGTAGAATATCGTCATTTAGAACAATGTGGTAAATTACACCAATCAGAAAAGGAAGTGCCTCGGGATATAGTGGTAAGAATATGGTAGCCCTCTTTTTTTTTAATATGTGTGATACTGAATAGCTCTGTGTAGTTCTTATGCATGATCTAGTTGGCCATGCATCACAGAAGTATAGCACTAAACTGTTAACCCACTAGTTAGAGTCTGGTTGGCAGGCCTGTAGTTTGCATGTTTAAATCCCCAGTTTCTTGTAGAATAGACATTAAAATTGTGTGTTGCTATTCAGATGTAGGTCTGGTACAGATTATTTGTTGCTGAGTCAAATGAGAGGAATCTTTGGGAGAAGTACTCAAAAATTATGAGCTGGGAATTTTTATTCCTGTGTGATACAAAATAAAATAAAAATACCCTTTGTATAACCTCAAATTCAGTGTGTGTCATCTCACTTAGATATGATGGTCTTTCTGGTTTGAGCCTATTAGTGTTTGACAAGATTAGTAAAATATATTTATTTCTCCTGCCATTTCTTAACACATATGCTTAGTTGTGGATCATCAAATATAGAAATTATGCATTACCATGGAAATATGATCATAGAAGAAGTTTCTTATACAAAAAATTAAGTATTATAAGGGTAAGTACATTTAAACTTAAGAAAGTTCAAGAACTGAAGTCATGGTTTAAGAACATTTGTTAAGTTGTAAAACAGGTTCTTATTGAAAAACTTGTACTATGTGGAAAAAAATTATTATCTTCTGCCTGCATTTCATTCCTCTTCTTCCTTTGACATTTCCATTTAAATGGCTTGTCTGCTGCAAGCAATTTAAAAAGGTGTTTTTGTGTTATAATAATCTTTCTCCACATGTATATTTAATAAACTTTGAGGTGTTAATTAGTAATAATCCAAGGACATATGTACTGGTATGATGATATGTATAATAGAAAAGAATGGTTATAATACCGAGTGTGTAAGAAACATTTGTGGAAGACAGATGTGTACTGTATTTATATTTATAATATGTGTGTATGTGTGTGCACATGTTATTATATAAGTGATTGTATTGTAAGTTTTTATATTATATTTAAAATACTCTTTATTTGGAAAAGAACATTTTTGATAAAATAGAATTGTGATATGATATGGTACCAAGTTTTTTGATGATTATGATGTTGGATGAATTTCTTGAATAATCTAAATGTATGGATCTGTTAGTGCTACTGATGCCCACAATGGCAGCATTGTCAGAGGCAGTAACATCTACAGAAGCATTTCAGTGTACTTGGTTCTGTTACTGCAATCATTTTATGATGATTCATGCTTCCATTGCAATTATTGCTGCAGGGACCTGTAAGTCTGCACCTGATGCAGCAGGAAATTGAATTTTTGTGAAGATCACACTTCATTTGCATTCCATAATGAGTGGTAAAATATTTTCATGAAATGAAGTTGGTGAAGTATGTGTGTGTTTAAAAGATAAATTAGGTGCAGATCAAAATGGATTCATAAGAGGACTCTCATGTAATGATATTTTTTCTTTCAAAATCTTAATAGAAAAATGGAAAAGTTTATATTGAAATTTATGTAGCTCTAGTTAACCTGGAGAAAACAAATATCGTAAAGAAAAGAACAGAAGCTGAGTTGGTGTACAAGTAAATGCAGAGGAAACTAAGAATGTGTTCATGTCTTAGCTTGAGACTACAGGACCAAATCGTTATATCCTTGTTGCTAGTATGTCTTTGAAAATGTGGCAGAAATAAAATATTTTAGAGCAACTTTAACGAATCAAAATTGCAGTCATGAAAAAGTAAGAGCAAACTAAATTCAGAGAATGCTTGCTACCACGCAGTTCAGAATCATTTGTCCTCTGTCTCCTGTCTAAGGACATAAGTATGAAACTGTAATTTTATGTGCTGTTTTGTATGGATGTGAAACTTGTCTGTTAAGGGAAGAACACAGATTGAGGGTGTTTGAGAATGATACTGAGGAAAATATTGATGCTTGAGAAGAATTGCTTAATGAGGATCTACATACTTTATACTCTTTACCATATATTAGTAGTGTGATAAAATTTGAGGATGAGATGGGTGGGGCATGTAGTGAATATAGAGGAGATTATAAGTGTGTATACGATTTTGGGAAATTGCCTACTTGGAAGACCCAGACTCATATGGGAGTCAGTATTGGAAACGATCTTTGCAAAAGAGGGTTTGGGGTGTAGGTTGGATCTATATGGCTCAGGGTAGGGCTGAGTGGGCTCTTTTGAATGTGGTAATTAACCTGTGAGTTTCATTGAAGACAGTGAATTTTGACTAGCTATGCTTCTTATGAATTTTTCTGCTTCATGGAGTTAAATTTTTGGCTTAGTTATTTTGTGTGCACTGAAAATGCATGTTTGGCAATGGGACCTATGCAATAAGCACTGAATGAAAATGTAAATTTGTAATGCTTGTAACACTTTCTGACACTACACACATTCAAATTATATAATTAAATTACCATTCTGGGCACATTTTGTGTAGAGTACATTATGTTACACTTTGAATACATCTTTAGGGTTTATTTCTTCCTCTGATGTTAACTTAGAGACCTTACCACAGTCACAGAAAGTTAATTTATAAAGATTGTTACAGGATACATAATTTACTTCAGTTACATTACTAATACTGCAAAAGCTCTTTGTCTGCACAAATAGCCCATAATTATTATAGACCAGTGTTGGAACTAGCGTGATTTAGTGGTTAGCATAGTTGATTTTTCAAGAAACTGTCAAGAGACCAAATACATGATGGGGCATAAGGATGTGATGGAATTTTTTAGGCTGCAATGTGAAATACATCACATCCTCATGCCCCATTCTACATAACAGAATTGAGGCAGATATGGGTGTGATGATTTCTAGGATTATTTATATAACTTAGTTTTAATGTATGGTAGTTTTGTCATTGTATTTGAAAGAAGGAATCTAAATGTATTTCCTTCATGTTGTATATATGTCTCAAAATTGTGTACCAAAGAATTATTGGATAATATCAGAAATGAGAAATGAAAACTGTTTTCTTTTTCCCTTGCAAAATATGTTATCTTATTTTCATGATTTGCCCTATGAGACAAAATCATGTTTGCTTGTAGGAAAGTAGGACCACATGTTAACAAGGGAAATAATGCAAGAGGGGTATAAGACCTATTATGTAGATTACCCATGGCACTACCATTTCCTCCTTTCTTTTCATGTTCCCAATGAGATTTATTTGTATATGTGGTAGTAAAAAAGTGCAAGACATACATATGTGGCATTCCATTGTTATCAGTGGCATTGAATGGCGACGGTGGATGAAGTGGAAAGGATGTGGAAGGAAGCATTTGCCATGATTTAAGGTATTGTCCTTAAAGTTTCTTGGAGAGACTCTGAAAAACTATAGCATATCATGGTAGGTGGTCACCAGGCCAAGCTTTGAATTAGAGACCTCTTGATTTTGAAGCAGGAGAGGTAACCAGTTTGTAATAGTACAATTTTTATTTTTAACATGAATGTTCTTGGTCTAGAGAGAATGTTGAAATGAGGGGATGCCAAGATATTAGCAGCTTTTGGGAAAGACGGGCTTAAATGGGAGCAATGAAAGGGCGAGCTCAGGCAATAAATGTGGCTGGTTAGGGTTGAACGACCGGGATTCTGTGTTTTATTTTAAGACGCTATTAGCAGAACCTTATACGACACTGATACCACAACCAGACCGACTCAGCCTTGGATGGGGTCCGCCTAAGATCCTAACCGATGGGAATAGCGGGTTCTTTCCCCATAGAAAATTTTACCGGCGTGTCAAACTCGCAACCGATTTCCATAAAATACCGACATTTCTCGTCCCCGTTATTGACGCATAAATATCCAACAAACTTCTCGTATTGTATTTTCCTGCAAAATGGCAGCTACTTATAACCTAGCAGTAGAGGGGTGTCCACATGGTTACCAACATCTCAATATCAAGTTGCAATATTCGTTAATATGTTATTAGTTTCCATGGTAACTGATATGCAAACGACAACTGTCTGAACGTAGTTGTAAACTGTATCGTGATTTGATTTAACTTATTTCTGTGCTGTAAATATGCGTAGTATGTCGTGACAGCTTGTGAAATGGAGAGTAGTGACTGACAGTTTCGTGATAGATTTGTGAAGATGAGTAATTATACAGAAGCAGCTGAAGCAGTTCGTAAAAGTGGGCATCTACAATCACCCTCTCATGGAAAAGTACCAAAATGGCTTGAAGACATGACTGAGTAAGTGTTATTTACTTCAGCGTTTTGTTCATGGTTATTTAACTTCTAGAGTAGGTTGATAAGATGAATTATGAAGTGAAAAAGGAATGTAGAAGGAAGTAGTCGTAGTACTATACCGGCATTCGCCTGGAGGGACTGAGGAAAACCACGAAAAACTTGGCTCATGATAGCCTGTGTCTAGACCGAGATTTCAACCAGGAAGTTGCTGTAGGGTGCAGAAGTCTGAACAGAAACTGTTTTGGATGTGCTGAGTGATGGACAGAAGTGTCACAGTTCATTGAACATTTTTATTACTTATCCTACACAAATTTAGTTGACAGCATTGAATCTTGAACTTGCACAGTGGCACTGGAAATACATGGTGCAAATTTTAAAATGTTATATTACAATATGCAAGGATGCAAAAGCATTAGAATAGTATACAGAAAGTACTGGGTGCTGTCATGAAAGTTTTTGACACTATAATTGCATGGCACCTGGGATTTGTATAGGCCTTGCTTAGTAGTATGATTTCTTAATCAGTTCCGTTTTAGTTGCAGATTTTAGAGTATTTTAATATACCTCTTAGGATGGTTGGTTTGAATTTTATTGCAGCAGTGTACAAAGAAATCAACCTAGATCATGGAGGCTTTCTCATGAGGACATGAACAATGGAGTTACCTCACTGCTGGACAATTTGCACCTAGAACATGATCATCTTTCAAGGTCTGAGATAGCATATTTAGTCTACTCTGAAAAAATCAACTCATTTCCTATATTTTTATTTCCCTGTAGATAAGAGAATGTAAACTAGGAGTGGTTATTTATACAGAGAGGCTAGATGATTTTATTTTGAAGTGACTATTGATTAGACAGTCTCATGATAAATATTCTACAGTTAAAAATCTTTTAAGTAGCGATCAATTATTTGCACTACCATAACATATGCTAGATAGACATATCAGAAGACATAATTATAATATTAATATTTAATTTGTGCTTAATGTACCAACTTCAATTTCTGTTCTCAAGGTATCAAAACACATGTTATACTGACTATGAATGTGAAGTGGATATGGCTTGATTTTGTCATACTCATTTGTCTGCATAATAAATACAAAAAATAGAGATTTATAAATTGTATGCATTTTTCAGATTACAGCACTTTCTGTGTATTATGTGTGAACAAGCAAAAATTATTAAAGAATGCTGTTTTCAATATAATCTTAAGTTTGCAATGGGCCAGACTGAAGTCTTTTATGGGCTGTATTTTGCCATCGTCTTATGCAGACATTACCCAAGTCTGTATAATGTTTAGGATACAGGCTGGACAACTGGAGTTTGATTCTCTGCAGATGCAGGAATTTTTCCCTTCCCCACTGCATCCAGTGGGGTCCATCTGGCCTCCTATTCATTGGGCACTTGGAGCTTTGTTAACAAAAAATAAAGAAACCAGGGCAGCTGATGCTGGAGTTAAGAATGCATGACACATCATATTTTCACTCTCCCAGTACATCATGAGTTAATGTTAAGAAAGGTGGTTTAAATAGGTACTACTGTATTGTGAAATGTTTAAGATAAGTCTTCTCAAGTTGAATTAACTGGTTTTTTTATTGATATATATTTTTTTCAGTGATGAAGAGGTGATGATGCTACCACGTAACAGCTCTGCAAGGCATGGGAGACGAGCTGTGTCATCCCTCGGTACGAGGTCAGCAGGCAACAGTCCGAGGAAGCCTTCACAGCGTTTATCATCTTTGGGAGGAGAGGAATGGGTGGACATTGTTGTGCCATCTAATATTACAAATCAACAGAAGTCATTTCTTGAACATGCCTCTTCAGGTCACCATCTGTTGTCCAGAAATGCAGCTTCTGTCGGTACAAATTCCAGAGATGGAAGAAAACCTTCATTGGAAGAATCTTGGAGTTCTCTCAGTTTCTTTGATAAAAGGCATAAGGGACGGCTGACAGAGAAAGCAGAGGGTGAGTACAGAGTCCATTTTTCTATGCAGTGTACCTGCTGTAATCCATGAAATGACATAAGTGTACTCAACATTATTTTAAATAATGTATATTATGATCTGAATTATATATTAGTATTTTAACTTTTACTTTGATTGATTTTTGTCTGTTTATAAATTTTGGTATTTATATTGCCCAGTGTTAACTTATTAAAGTGTGTAATTTTACTTATTATTAGCAGTATTATGTATACTATTTTATTGCCATGTGTGTGTGAGTCTATGTCCCGCGCCGTAGCCGCGCGGTCTGAGGCGTCATGCTTCGGACCGGCGATACAGAATGCGTGCTGGTTCGAGTCTTGGGGGAGAAGAAATTTTCTCATGAGCTTTCGACCAGTGTATGGGACCGGTGCCAACCCAGCATCGTGAGGAAATTGGGGAGCTACAATGGGTAGCGTAATCCGGTCTACTAGTGCTATGTAAACTAGGAAATCTTTTTATTTTAGAAATTTTCAGTATATCTGGTGATGTTGTACAGATGTATTCAGCTCTCAGGATAATGTGTAAAAATATATTGGTGAATGTAAGTTTCATTTACAGAGTCCCTGGAATTATTTATGTAATTAATTTCATATCTATTTTTGTTACCATATACAATAATATTTTTATTTTCTGGTAGTACATAAATTATTTTTTCTGAATATTAACATACAAAAAATGCAATACTGATTTCAGTGGCTCAGATACTAATAAAGATATGTTGTGTAGTGAAATATCTGTAACTTGGGTTCAGAAATTTCTGTGTTTTTGATGTCAAAAGATGACTAAGAGAAGTCTGAGTGGACTGGATTGGATAGTATGAATGCACCTTTTTATTTTGTTGCTTGCTCTAAAATTTTTTATGTAGCAGTGGAATATTTCTACCATTTTCACTAACAATCTAGTCTTGGTTCTGTGTTTTAACAATTTATTGCATCCATTTTTGACAGACATCATATCGGTTCTGGTGATAGGCTTTAATGTGCCTTATATGTGTTTTCAGATGAACTGATTTCACCAGCTGGTTCTGACACAATGAACGGAAGCCTGTCTCCAGAAGGCGACACGGATTATAGTGGCAGTTCTCATTCCATAAACAGCTCTGACTCTGACTTTATCATTCCGAAACTCCCTTCAGGTTCCAAAATGGAGCTAAATATTCATTCAACTTGGGGTGACAGACATTATCTTGGCCTGAATGGTATTGAAGTGTATAGCAGCACAGGAGAGCCTGTGACTATAGCCAAGGTAACCGTAGTCACAGTTCAAGATTTTAATATGGCATTATAGATTGAATGTAAAAATGGTGTTGACATATTTTATTCGCTGAAGGATTCATTGTTCTTTGCAGAAGTTTTTGTTATTTGTGCGAAGTATTTAGATTCCTGTACCTGGACTGTTAAAGGTTCTTCCTACTGTAGTCCTCTGTATCCTTGATGTATGTCATTGACTATTTTAGATCTGGGCTGAACCTTCAGATATCAATGTGTTACCAGAATACATCAATGATCCTCGAGTAGTAACCAATCTGCTGGATGGCGTGAATAGGACGCATGACGACATGCACCTTTGGCTTGCACCTTTTACTAAAGGTGCCAACCATTATATACATCTGCTTTTTAAACACAAGTTTCAAATAGCCATGATTAGGATATGGGTGAGTAGAATTTATATAAATATGATTACTAGAATGTTAATCATTATTCTCATCGGAAAGAGTTATAATTTTAGTTTTTAAATTAATTTGTATAAATAAAATCCTTTTGTGTTATTTATTCTTTTGTCTATACTATCGTATCTAACAATCATCTTGTCTCTAATGTATGAGGGTTGGTGTTCATTGGTTCTGGAAAAGGATGAGCCTTTGTGTACATTATAGGAAATGACCATGAATTACTATTATAAATGAAAGTTGGAGCTTGTAATGTAACCTTCAAAATAATATAAATTATCAGATATCAAAACATTTTCTTCCTGTGTAATGTATAAAGTTTGACACTAGTTAGTAGGGCTAATAAATTCATTAATTTTCCAATTAATTAATAGTATAAAATTGTTGAAATGTTATGTTTTGTATAACCAGTTCTGTGCTGTATGGTCCACCTCTACTGACTGATTTAATTAATGTTCTCTGCAGTTGATACAGAATATTTAATTAGCCCACAAATTTATTTTTTTTTGTTTTGTAAATTATATCCGGGTTGTATTTGGACCATGAAAATAAGTCAAAAGATAAAGTTGTTTTTGTGTCTAAGCACCACAACATGAAGGTATGTATTTGAAGTGGAGGTAAAGCTCCACACATTTTTAACTTGAGTGTCTAAGCACCACAACATGAAGGTATATATTTGAAGTGGTGGTAAAGCTCCACACATTTTTAACTTGGGAAGTAGATTGAGATGAGCAGTCAGCTTCATGCCCCAGCTACATTATTTGTGTGGGAAGTAGCTGGGGCCCAGAGCCAAATTGGATGTCGAGGCAACAAAGGATCCTCTTTTCAAGGATTCTAACTTGTCCAGGTCATAATCAGGCACTTAACTGACTGATCAATCTTGAACTCAAAAAATATGAATGTATTGATTAGGTTCATACGTTTTTCTGCATTATATGTGTAAAAACAGACTGGTTTGAAGAGTCGAGGAGGATTGAGAAAGAGATTTTTTTCTAAAGGTTACTTAATTTTCTTCATTCCAGAATTACAATAAATCAAGAATTCACTCTTACAGAGGCGTAAGAGATGTTGACATCACACTGGATGGAGTGACAATATTTCGTGGTGAAATAGCACGTGCTTGTGGTGGGATCTTAGGTGGAATGGAAGCTTTTGGAGATGTATGTAAACATACCATAAACTCTTGTTGTGGTTTCTGTGTTGATGTGTTAATTTCCTGCTTATGAAAGTACTCTGAGCTTATAATGCAGGTTCATTATGTTACTCAGTATAGATTTTATAATATCCCTCAAAATTGTCCATTGGAAAGAATATGTTGAGATTTAAATTATTTGTCACATAAATTTCTAAAATTTTTTGCTTCAGTTATTTTTTATTTAAGTTCATAAGAGTTTTCGAGTGTAGTCAGAATTCATATTCTGGCCTCTATCTTAAGACAGATATCCAGTACGTATCAGCATACTCTTTTATTAAACAATGCTATAATAGTGAAAATTTTTGAAATGTTGTGAGTAATTAAATGGTGAAATATATGTTTTTCCCACATTATCTTGATCCATAGAGAATTATATTCTATGAAGCTGATAGTCCATGTTAAAGGAGAGTGTGAGTAATTAAATGGTGAAATATATGGTTTTCCCACATTATCTTGATCCATAGAAAAGTATATTCTAAGAAGCTGATAGTCCATGTTAAAGGAGACTGGCCAAATTTTACTTCTCATTAAATCAAATTACATCTTCTGTGGTGGGCATTCAACAGAGTTTTCACTGTGACGCCGTAAAAGAAATATAACATGCATTCATTAGTGAATGTATATTATAGCTGTCTTTTTTTATTATTTATCTGTAATTCAGCAATGAAATCAGATCATTAAATCAGGTTAAGTTTATTCAAATTTGTTATGTATTGTGATGCACTACTGCATTAGTAATAGTGCTTTTAGAAATATGTTTATATAATCTCTTGCTTACAGACAATTCTATTCACCACAGATGACACAATACTTGAATTGATCTCACAGTATGATGAATCATTTTGCACTCTGCTTAGTCAGGCTCAGCAAGATGTTGAAAATTACCGTGTGGAAAGACCAATTACTGCAGACAATGGTGTGAGTACACAGTGCAGTTCTTAGTGGGAAAATATCTAGTGTAAATTTTAATTTTTCACTTTAAAGCCACTCATAAATTATTGTCATAGGAACTCGGTGTTCTAACCTCTGTGCACTTGCATTTACAGAGAAAATTTTAATGATAATTTTCAGGTATTATACAAAATATGTTTGTCCATTTTATAGTTTGGTTTGAATATTAATCTGTTCTTTAAATATTTAGTAATTTGTAATTGATGACTGCATATATGAGGTGTATTAGTCGTGTGTGTGTATTTTTGTGGTATTCCTGAATATATGCGAGGCATGTAATTTGATAAATTACCATACAATGAAGTCCTCTCTAATTATGAGTGAGAATATAATATTTATCTCTGTTAATGTTACAGAACATTTGTTGTAAGTTTGTACTCTCTGGTTTCTTCAGGATGAACGGCCATTTACATGTGCCGGGTCACATTCTGATAATTTATCGACAGTTGACAGATATCCTGGCATCCTTTTGGGAGGACAGAAACTGGAAATCAGCCTCATAGCCAACTGGGGACACTCTGCACTCATAGGTAGTAAAGATGAGATGGTGCAGTGATAGTCAGTAGAAGAAAAACATCTTATTATATATTTATTTTTATATTGTACCATATTTTATACAATGGAAACACTGCATGCTTGAGATCAGCTGTAACCTCATGCAAAGGCAACACACTACTGCCATATGTCAACCATAAGCTGATTGGTTATTGTGTCAACAGAATAGAATTGTACAGTAAATTTAAGGGGAGGCATGACGGATTCACCGCTGTTCCTGAGCACTAGATCATCAGGGCGTATGAAGGACCTTGGAGGTTAAGACACTCATGTTCTGAGATTTTAGCTGTCACCTGTGTTGTTGGACAGATGTGACAGTAGGGAAGATCCGTACTTTTAATTGATTTTGTTTTTAATTATGTTTTGGTTTGGCCTTCAGGACTAACAGGTTTGGAAGTCCTGGGAGATGAAGGCTCAGTTATTCATGTGGAACCCCAGTACCTGCAGTGCAGTGTTCTGTCACCAGATATTTACAGGTGCTGAAAGTAAAATATTACTATTTTTTAACCTTGATTCTTATTATAACATATCAGATCTTATTTCTGTGGCTAATACTTTTAGTCATTTTTTCAAGAATCTTTGTGGCTTCTGTGGGCCTCTGCAGTGGTCAAGAAGTCCATGTCTGAGATGCAGGAACTTACCATAAGATTACAATAGGATTATGGTCAATGGAATATATGCATCTTAATATGAGCTCTGATATTCCTTAGACACTTAAAAAGTCAATTATAGTGTTTTATATTAGTTATTTAAGTTGCAACAAAATTTCATGTCTGCCTGCCTTGGTAACTTGCTGTACTGACTCTGTATTCTAGGATAGTAGATGGAGTGAACATGACCACAAATGAGGATCATATGTGGAGCACACCATTCCTGGATGGTGACATGATTGTTCTAACCATCAGTTTCCCAGTTATTGTGTATATTGCTGCTCTCAGAGTCTGGAATTACAACTACACTGCAGACCTCACTTACTGTGGTGTAAGCTACTTATGACCATTTCATTACAGATAAGTATAGTCCACAGACCAGGAGAAAAGCCCTGCGGGGGGAAGTCGTTTCTGGGGCGGTGCAGGGGGAATGTTTACTATCAAGTGGACTAGAGGGCTGCTATTGGTGGGAAGTGTGATACGTCAGAGTTTTTCACTACTACACACAGACTGAAAACATCAAGCAGTTAAGAGTAGCGTGTAGTGAGTGTACCTCTAATGTGTTCTGCTGCTGTTGTGATAATATTGTAGATTAAATCACTGTGCCACTGTGAGGTAATCTTAAAGCTATACCCATTAGAACACATGAAAGCCTGTCGTCTGTTGTTCGTTCAGTAATTGTGTAACGAATGCTTTTAGGATGGGTCGTCACTCTCCGCGAAATCTTGCGCATGCGCGTACATCAAATTCCTAGCAGGTCTTTTCTCCTGGTCTGTGGACTGTACATTCATTCCTATACATTCCAGCAAGAATGATCTAAACTAGGTAAAGTTCTATAGTAGATGAGCTGTACACATAGCTTCAGTCTGCCTGAAATAATAGTTGGATTATAGCATGTATGAAGCAGTAAGTACTAATTTGATTAACAAATTTGATGATTGCTACACTTGCAGGTTAAACTGGTGACAGTACATTTAGATGGAAAGCTTGTGTCTCCTGGGACAGAAGGAGTCCTCACACTTCGTCGTGCACCAGGGAACTGCCACTTCAACTTTGCTCAGGATCTTAATCTGTCAGAACAGCCACCCTATAGTTCCGCTGTCAATACCAACAGTGTCCATCAGAGTGCTGTGTATGATGGACAAGCCTATTACTCTATGCCACAACCTTCGACTAACAATTGTTATGATGACTGCCATCTTGGACTTCCCATAGTAAAACTCTCCCCCCCACGTGGTTCTGGTGATGGTGATGAAGAGAGACCAAGTTTAGTTTCTCATCTTTATTCTTCCATTACTACTAGCAGTATACGTAATGAAGAATATGGATCTGTGAGGAGGAACTCATTAGTTGTTGCATCACCACACAGTGAGAGTGGTCTCATGTCGGAGGATGAGGAATATGAATCACCAGTGATGCCCCAGGGGTTTGTGTTCCAGTTACTTATACTCTCGACATGGGGAGACCCGTACTATGTGGGACTCAATGGACTGGAACTGTATGATCAGGATGGGTACAAGATGAGACTGACAGAAAATAGTGAGTTAATCATCCATTCCATAGCTCAGACAAGCAATCATTCATGTACGAGTCAGATATGCTGTAAAACCTGATTGTAGGTTATTTACACTGCTTCGCATTTCTCGCATTCATGGTGATTATTATTTGAATACGTGACTAACTGAATAACTCCATGGAACAGAGTCCATGAAAAGTTGTCGTGTTGCCTAGTCACACTTGAAGATTTGGTACCATGGTTTTATCATTCTGGAGTTTTTTGACAGTGGTGTACTGAGGTCATTGTTGGAGTACATTGTTGCAGCAATGACTGTGGATGCCATTGTCGTATTTGTAATTCCTGTGGTTGCCATGCCGATGTCAGTGCCAGTGATGTGTGAATAACACCTTTGGAATTTTAGTGTACTTTAAATAGTACATGTTTATAATCTTGTTTTTTTTTTGTACATGCCCCATTTTAATAAGATATTTTTAGAGTAAGAAATCAATATAAAGTTTGAGTAGTGAGCTAAAATAATGTTAGGCCATTGTATATTGTTAATTTTTTCAGCCTATCAAGTTTTTATTCCAGTTTTGATAAATATGTGTTATCTTAATTGTTTACACCACTACTTTTGCACTGTGTGAAGCGCTGTTAAATTCATATCCTGAATATTTTAGACTTAAAATTTGGAACATGCTTTGGCAAAATATAACTTTTTTTCTCTTCTGCTGAATGGTGTAGAGCAGTGGTATTCAACCTTTTTTGTTTGCATACCCCCAGATATAATTTCTCTTCAACTTTGTACCCCCAAAGTTGTTGGTGTATAATTCAAGTTATACATAGTATATAATCTACATCTAAAATAAATTAAACAAATTACATTACTGATTATTCAGTGTTTATCATGAAATAATATATATATATTTTTAAATGTCACCCCCTAAGATGTCTTCGCATACCCCAGGTTCAATACCAATGGTGTAGAGGTTATGGATTATGTGAGTAGGAATAGTAATTAGACTGCATTGTCATGAATAGGGCAAACTGATAATTTCATTCCAGACATTGGAGCATATCCAGACAGTGTGAATATACTAGAAGGAGTAAGTGGTGATGTACGAACACCCGAGAAGTTGGTTGATGGCGTGAATAACACTTTGGATGGTCGCCATATGTGGCTAGCTCCCATTCTTCCAGACCAGGTACCCGTTTATTTTGCGTACCGGACAGATGTATTGCAGTAGTCATGATAACACGGTGAATGTGTTAAAGTAATTTTAACAATGGATTATGCTGTAAAGTTTTTATACAATATGTATCTGTATGTATATATTCTTTAACTAATAATTTTCTAGGTTATGTACTGGATCAGATGTGATAATTATATAATGGTGGTAGAATGACAAAGTATGCAGACTGCCAGTATTTTATATATTTTAACCATACTTATTAATCATAGGTGCAACTTCCCTTGACAACAACAGAAATCTTCTAATTGATGAAAAATACAGTAGGAACCTTAAAATGTAATTGCCATTTTCATCAAGTAAATAGTGTTAAGATTATCAATTGGACTGCTTACAGCTTAAAGGAGTTGTCATGAGTTTAATTGTGGTTACTGTTCCCATATTATTTGTTGAAATCAGTATCCATGTGGATAATGGAACTATAAAGCATAATTGCAGTTTGCTTTTGTTGCATACTGTTACTGTTAAATGTAAGGAACCTTTCTTTCTGTTTTGAATGTTTTTAATATTATTTTTTATATATATGCCTTGAATTTAAAAAGTGCCTCTTTTCTCAATTTTTTCCCTACTGGAATGGTGTGTCTGTATCTGAATGAAGGAAGGGGTAGATTGGTGGATGAAGAGAGATGCGGCTGATTAATATGGGATTTGGAGAAAGGTCCATGTTCCATTGGAATATTACAGATAATAGAATCCGGATTTGTATTACTTGACCAAGTGTATATTACTTCACTTGGAGCAGTTTTAGTAATAAATCTGGTTTTTTGTGGCATTTTCTGAAACATTGAAATGTTATAAAATTGTAACTACACTACCATGAACGGAGAATTATACTCCTACTGTTGCTAATGATCAGTTTACTAATCATTTGAAGGTACTATTCAGGGATATAACATTTCCAAGAACTCTATTTTAATTACAATTTGAAAGAATTATATCTTGTTTCAGTTGAATCGAGTATACATTGTGTTTGACTACCCTGTAACTGTGTCCATGATAAAGCTGTGGAATTATGGGAAAACTCCCAGTCGAGGTGTTAAGGAATTTGGGGTGAGTGTAGAGACATTGATTTGTTTAATTATTTCTTTTTTCAAAAGAGAAAGGTGTGATCATTCGAGGAACAGGAGACTTGTTCAGTGTATCACATTTTCTGTGTAATCTTTATTCTGTAGTTACGGTGAATTTGAAGGGTCATGTATATTTTTGAGATTACTGTACAGGTTTCTTTGGCTTCGCATTCTTGCTTTGCAGATACTCCACATGTCATGTGAAAGAAAACAAAGTTTGTATGAAGTACAGTACACTGAAAAAATAATTGTCTTCTAAAACAAAGAAGTAGATCACCCGTTTTTGTTTTGAATTTGCCCTAAAATAATTGTCATTACACATTTTTTCAATTATATTACTTTGCTGTACTACCTGAAAATTGCCACATATCTGTAAGTGATTTCTGAATCACAGCTTCAAAATTATTGACCTGTGTGTTGGATGTTCTCTGTTTGACAGATACTTGTAGATGACCTGCTGGTGTACAATGGTGTCCTTGATAAGGTTTCAGGAATCTCAAAGATGTCAGTTGAAGTTCCTTACAGAACTGTCCTGTTTACAGCAGATAAAGAATTACTGAAGAGGGAACACAGTACTCAAATTCGGTGAGTGTACCTTACAATCTTCTTTCTTGAACCTTGTTTTCTCAAACATAAGTGCTTCATAAAAACGTCCTTGTCACTGAATTAATAGTCAGTGATCTGGTATGATCACTGTTTTGAGGCTGGATTTTTGATGCAAGTAATATACAGGATTGTGAATAAGTCACTTCATTGAGACAGTTCATTTGCATGTGGTACTTTTCAAGTACAGGTAGCCCTCGATTTGTTCAATGTGCGCCGATTCAGATTAACGCCAATTTTGAAACCAGCAAGTCAAAAAGTGAAAAAAAAAATACTATTATTTATAACGTTTTACAGTGTATCTCGTACTGATTCTTATACTACATAAATAATTCTATGAGATGTTTTACTGTTACTGTGATTCACAACTTTCAATTTTTCAGGTGTATGATGAAGAATAAGGAGAAGATAAGGTTAGGGTATTCTAGGTAATTACACTGAAGCCTTATAAAAGTGTTCTTACTTCCAATGTTTATTCTTCTGGATTTAATATAAACAATATAATTGTTTTCCACATACATAGTTTTCTGATTGTAATATCCTGCTTATAGTAGTGTTTTAAATATGTGGCTTGTGCTCTGTCTTATTTACTTGTTTTAATATTTTCCATATTATTTGTTTTCATAAGTGATTGGCTTAAACAACTGAGTTAGTAACCATTTATAATATAAAATATGATTTACTAAACATCTTTTTCATCATATTTTGTTCAATTATTGGGCCCATTATATAACTAAAGATTTTTGTGTTGATTCTTGGTTAGGTTCTTTTAAAAGGAAATGCAGCCCAGTTTGGACACTACTTGGTACTACAAGAATTTCAGGACAATACAATAACTATTTAACTTTTTCTGTAGGAACAGCAGTTATGGTTATGGTGTTCAACTACTTAATGACCACCAGAGAGTGACATCAGGTGGATCATGCATCTCTGCAGATCAGTCGCAGCGGCCCCATACTTCCCTTGTTCCAACCACACGTAGCAGAAGCCTGCATGACATGTGACTACTTGCCTCTTGTATGATTATGTTGGGTGTGCAAGTCTGCTGAGGACTCAGGTATACCAGGTTCAACTCCCATGTCACATCACATCATTGTTTACACTGGCATATATCTTACGTGTACGGCTTCGATCATAGTCTTGGTCTGTTAATAAAATTAGAAATGAAGTGACATACACAGATTTTAAAATGATTTGGTCAAAATTTTTTAGGAACATGGACAGCATGAAGGCATTTATAGCACCTCTGTTTGGGCGAACATTTTAAGTGGATTTATCGTATTACTCTATTCTTGTTCATTGCTAATGTCTGTGAAATTGAGTATTTCATTACAGTTTACATTCTTGTTAGGTTCTTCTAGAAGTATTTACTTGAAGTTACATATTTCAAAATCAATTTTTATAAGTATACGACCAATTTATGAAAACAAATTTAGGAGTACTTATGCTTCATTCCTGAGACTGTCACATAAATGAACATGTTGAATTTTTATGTAGTTGAAAAATGTGTTATATTACTGACGTGATAAAGAGGGGCAGACAGTCTGGGTATGTATTGGATGTCATTAGGTTTGTTTTGATATACCGTATGTACATAACACATACCATTATTCTTTTCACAAAAAATAGCCATTTCCTTCCCCCCTTTTAAATATATGTTTCATGTGTTAACATGCACCTTAATTTTAAGAATGAATAGTTTTGAAATAGCTGCGTTTATTAACTAGCTGCTTTCAATGATGGAGTGATGATTGTGTTGAGCTGTTGATCTCATGCATAAAGAGATTAATAAAAGTGGCCATATATACTGCAGGATTTTGGCTTGTTAGCTTCCACTGTCATTTATCTTGACATTTTTTATTGAAAATTAACTGTAATAATTTCAAGATGTAAGCTGCTAAAACTGCTTTGTGTGTGTATTAAATTAGAGACTGTTAATGATCTGAAAATGAAGAAATGATCTAACGTACCGTCACGTAGTATGCAATTATGAAAACTAGGTTAGGAATCAAACATATCTGTCCTTTTTAAGAATATGTAAGTTGGTTAAAGAGATTTATATTACGTCTGTCAAGTATGACATTTGTGTCCATATATTAAAATTTGCCTTTTTTGCATATTATAAAAAATATTTGAAACAGAATTAACAAAGGAGATATATCTCATTTGCCAAACCTTACTCTTTTTACACCTTATAAAGGATTTTTTTCTTTTTCACAAGTGACCTGAATAAAATCAAAATAACTTATAATATAGTATAATATAATTAAATGTATTTTTAGAATCATTTTGTAAGAATCATCTAAAATGTGTCTTGTGAGTGTTCCGTCCACTTGCACGAAGTACAGAAATATGAGTTAAAGCAGAATCATATCAACTTCTAGTAGGATTTGAGGTTCTCGTGGTGGTGAGTATAAAGATGGGAGTCTTCTGGGTTGTAGTGCCCTGATTGCCCTAGTTTGAGGTTCTCCAAGAACCTCTGAAGCAAAGGTAAACGTCTTCAAGGCTACATATAAACTCTTGACTCAGTTTCTGTAAATTTAGATTAATTTTGTTTG